CAGCTGTCTTATTCTAGGTGATTTTAATGCACCTCATATAGACTGGGTAGCTGTCACATCTCCAGGATCCGCTAATAAGTTTGACAGCCGGTTACTCTTGACTAACATGGAAAATGCCCTGACACAACATGTCTTAGGTAGTACAAGATTCGGTTCTACCCAAGGATCTTCCTTGCTGGACTTAGTGCTTACTCATGACAACGACGACGTGGATGGTCTATTTATTCATCCACCTCTAGCAAATAGTGATCATGGGGTGTTAGACTTTAACTTAAGGGCTGGCAATTTAGTCAGTTTTCAACCAAAATCCCGACCTAGTGTTTGACATGCTGACATAGTCGCTTTAAAGGAGCGTGCTTCAACTGCCGACTGGTCAGTCAATATGGTCTCATCCATTGAAGATGAATGGGATAGATTTAAGAATACACTTGAGAGGGTTACCACTGATTTCATTCCCTGGAGGGTTCCTAAAAGGCCAACAAATCGGCCACCATGGATAAATAGACAAGCTATAACACTCCTAAGACGGAGAAAAAGGTTCTGGAATCTCTTTGTTTCTACTGGGCTACAGCAGTTCCGGCTGAGATACTGTGAAACCAGAAACCAGTATAAAACTTTGATTCACCAGTCAAGGATAGCTTACGAAACCCAGTTAGTTAAAAGTTCACTAGGCTGCCCAAAAAGACTCTTCTCATATATCAAGAGAAGAACACGTAAGAGTGATGCTATCCCACCTCTTATGCTTGAAGATGACCAGACAAACATGGCTGAGGAGAACTTGACCAAGGCTGAGGCTTTGTCCAAGCACTTTAGTTAAGTATTCTCTGATAATATTGATACCAGCTTTGTAACTTTTCCAGAAGGTATTTTGAAAATGGCACCCTTATACATTGGAAAGGATACTGTCCTAAAGTGGCTTCTAAGGCTCAATCCTGGTAAGTCCAGTGGCCCTGATGAACTCCACCCACGTATATTAACAGCATTGGCTGAAAACATAGCCGAGCCATTGTCGGTAATCTTCAATATGTCTCTGGACCAGTCTAAATGTCCAAGAGACTGACTGGAAAGATGCCATCATTAGTCCGGTCTTCAAAACCGGATCTAGAAACTTAGTTCAGAACTATCGTCCTGTTAGTTTGACCTGTATTGTTGTTAAACTACTAGAAAGAATAATTCGTGATGCTATCATTCAGTTCATTGAAGGGAACAAACTTTTCGCTGTGGAACAGCATGGTTTTAGAGCAGGTCATTCTTGCTTGACCAACCTTCTTTTGGCCAGAGAAAGTTGGGCAAGCTCAGCTGATGCTAATATACCGGTGGATGCCATATTCATCGACCTTAGCAAGGCGTTTGACAGGGTTTCTCATTCAGGTCTTCTAGTAAAGTTATGTAGTCTGGGAATCAATAAAGTGGTTGCCGACTGGATTCAAAACTTTCTAAAGGACAGAAGACAAAGAGTACGAGTTAACGGGGTTTTATCAACATGGGAATCGGTTAAGAGTGGCGTTCCTCAGGGTGCAATTCTAGGCCCACTTCTTTTCCTGATTTATGTTAATGAGATTCCATCGGTAGTTAAGTCATCCTGCTTACTGTTTGCTGATGACATCAAGATATGGAGGGCTTTACACGATGACAGTGATCAACTTGCTTTGCAGGAAGATTTAAACTTGTTAAGTGATTGGTGTAAGCACTGGGCCTTGGAGATTAACTTAAGCAACAGTGTTGTTATGCATGTATCTCATAGTCACGTGGACAATTACTCAATGGATGGCATTACTCTCCCAGTGGTCACTGAGTACAAGGACTTGGGAGTGGTTGTGCAGCATGACTTGAAAACAACAACAAACTGTAGAGCTGCAGACACTAAGGGTTTTCGAATATTATGGGCCATACGCAAGGCTTTTGAGAATTTTGACGCTGAAATATTTCGTATATTATATCCGACTTATATCAGACCTCATTTGGAATATGGGATCCAGGCAGCGAGACCGTGTTTCAAATACGAAATAGACTTATTAGAAAGGGTGCAGAAAGTAGGAACTAAGCTAATAAAGGGGTTCTCAACCCTCTCATATGAGGAGAGGTTAAGTCGACTGGGTTTATTTCCACTGTCATACAGACGACCTAGGGGTGACCTAATACTAGCATACCGTATCCTAAGAAATGATTTTGGAGCTAATTTATTTCTTCCTTCTAGCACCAACCAATTGCGAGGACATCACCTCAAGGTTCAAAAACCACGGTCGAATCGTCTGCGTCTGGAGATCCATTTTTCGCATCGAATTGTGAACCATTGGAATTCCCTACCGGAACACGTCGTATCAGCGCCATCCGTTGATTCATTCAAGGCGAGATTGGACCTCCCGTGTGCAACAAATCGAAAGGATTAACACAGGCATATAGCCTACTATCCTAAATAAATTGTAAACTGTAAACTGTATAAGAGGAGTTGAATAAGTGTATTACAGTCACGTAATAAGATGAATAATTTAATGAATGAGTTGTAATCAGTATGCACATAGAAATGCTGCTGCTGCTGCTGGATTCAACATATAACTTGGCACCGAAGTGCAGCAGTTCGAGTTGCCACGTTCCAAATAGCACACAAAGGTAGACAAGAAAATGAGTGTAGAGAATCAATAGAGTTTTGACAAGTATAAGAGTGAAACAGAAGGAGTAATGGTAGAGAAGAAAATGAAGGTTAAAGAGACTGAATACATCTGCGCCATTGACAACGATTTTGAGCCATGTCACCTAGTGTCTCCAGC